TATACAAACCTCTTAACAAGTCGAAGCTTCGGAATCAACTGACGCAAAAGAAAGCCTCCTTGTACACCAGTCTCCTCCTTTTTTAAAACATGGACCATTCCTTATGCTTTTTAATCCCACGGTTGAGACGTCAAAGCTTTTCCGCCTCCTTAAGAAGCGATCGTCCCTCAAACTGCGTTGCGACCAACTATTTTAAACTTTCTAATCTGGAAATTTAATGCAAACGAAATGTGCTTTTTAATGCAGCTGAAGTGGAAAAGATGCTTATGCTTTTTGACTGAATGCTCCATCTGATCAGAGTTTCCTCTTGGCATCTAGGTGCTCCCAGTTTTTCGCTTTCTCTCTTTCTAAAAAAAAAGAAAGAAATAGAAATAGAATGAAATCATTTTTAATAGATATCCACTTGATACATCATGAATCAATCCAAGGTTAACGAACACCTGTACAATAGATAATTTTCTCAGCTTTAAACAGGTTTTTTTAAGCGTTCTCTTTCCTTCATTATAGGTAATCATAATTATGTTTGACCGAAAAGAGGTACGATAAGGATCACGGTTAGCATCTTTTAACAAGGATACTACGTTGAGCGGAAGGAAGTAGAATAGAACTCCCGGAAGGAATTTTGTGAGAAGGCCGCGGTTTTTAGGTAAGCCAGATCCGTTCCGATAGGTTGATAATCACGGCAAACTGGTTTCTCCCGTAGATAATAACAGAACGATAATGATAAAATGACAGCAAACTTATTTTCGACCCGTTGGTCACCAAGGTTTAATTTAATTATAAATTGATTACTTTTATTACTTATTATTACTGTTAAAAGGGTTTAGAATTAAAGGTTCGAATACAAGCTCCACCTGTAATCCTTGACTTGTAAATTTTGCACTGACAAAATAGCAGCAAATGGGAACATTTAAGTAACTTATTTGTTTGCAGAGGAATTAAAAAATAACAGATGAATGTTTTCAAGAATAATCGTATATGATAAAAGAAAAAAAAACTAGTTCCAACACAATCCCTACAAATAATTGTTACAGTCCAACTTAGTGAAATATGCCAGGTAAGTTTATTAAGAAACTGAAAAATATAAAATGTGTTTCTTTACTAAAATGTATTATTGTTTGATAGTTACCAATCATCGTTGATTTTTGTCACAGTTGTTTTTGTGACAGCGAGGATAGGCAGACAACAAGAGAAAAATCTCAACATTTAAAATGTGCTACAGTTCTCAAAGTCAATTTCCATGGTTGACCAAATTTAAAAAATATCAAAATAATTAACATAACAAAAAAATCTTTAGTAGAACTATTTTGCCAAATTAAAAATATATTATGTAGATTCCTTTACAAATAATTTGTTTGTCCTCTCATTTATTTATTTAAGTTTGACCTTACGTTGCTGTCAGGGGTACAGGATAATTAATCATCTGTGTCAGTGTAAAAAAAAAATCTGGTAACGCCGGTTTGAAAAGGTGTAGAAGGTTGCATACGGAATAAAATTTGCAAGATATTACACATGATGCACCATTGTGCAGTCACCTTTCATTGCCATTATAATTTACTTTAAGAAATTCCCACTAATAAGATTCGAAATTTAAAAAAAAAAAAAATATATTACAAAATCTCAACCGGTACTGAAATTTTCTAGTCCAAATAAAGTAGTCTAAATTCCAATTTTCGTTCGTTTGTTTTGAAACGCGTATTGAGCGAATGATAATATAAATTTGGTTCGATTTGTTTTTCATTTTTTAGATCATATAATTTTTATGATTGAAAATAAGTCACTGTTTGAAACTTGAGTCTTCATATTATGAAATATATACACTAATATAAAAAATATACAATGAAATTTAAAAAAATATTATGTAATAACAGAGTAAATATAGTTTATAAATATATATTCCTGTAATGAAGAAATAAAATAAACAACATCTTCTAACATAAAACATAATATATATAGTTATGAAATAATAATAATTATAATTAAAAATTATAATGTTGTCGGTAAAACATACGCTTTATTGCAATAGCATTTTCTCTTCTGATTCATGAAAAAAGTTACATGAAAATAGCGTATTTTTATTCCTTAATACCAACACAATACACATGGCAAAACTTACTTAGCAGTGCAATAATATTTTAATCTATAATTTAAATTTACATCTATATTCATTGATAATTGAAATGGTTATAAATATTTATAACAACCTAATAAATTAGGGATAAAAAATGACAGTATGTATTACGTTCTTAAAGTCTCCATCCAAAATTTGAGACTTGGAAAACCCTAAGATAAAATTAGTTTAATCTTAATAACATATAAAATATTTGAAAACAAATGATTAATGGCATTGTTTTAGAAAAATAAAATATCAAAATATTCATGGAATACCGACTCATTAATTTGTTGATATGGTTTATAACAACAGTTTCTTCTGTCATTGGAAAACAACGTTCACAATACAAAAATAAACTGATTCCAAATTTTACCGGGAAATAGTTAATTTGTTCTTTTCCAACGCAAACAAAAATATGAAATGAGTACGTTGTTAAAGAATGTCCCCCCATTTTTGTTTTTATCTTTAAATTGCTCATTCTTGAAAATTTGAAAATCCTTGGACCCCGCTCGTGTCAATGTTTTGGCACGTTAAACGATAATGTTAACAAAGGTTTTTCCTCTATCAAAACCTAACTGCTAAATTATCTTTATCATCCAATAAAAAGGCACAATTTTGTTGTTATGTAGTGATTTCATTTTAATTTTCTTGAGAGAATTATTCTAGTAAAACTGTTGGAACAATATTTCATTTTTGTTAGGATTATTTAATAATATAATAATTATTCTTTACGTACTAGGGTTCACTTTCAGGTTTAACCTTCCCGAGATGCAAATATAATGGCTCAGAAGACAAAATAATGTTTATGACAAAGTCACGGTTACAGGATAATGGATTCGACGTAAGAGAAAACACGTTTCGCTGTTTTTATGTCAAGCCGATAATACATTATTCACCGAGTTGATAAGTTAATTTGATGTAATTAAATTTTTTTGGCATGTTGCCTTGCAATTTTTCCACTTTTGACCACCCAAAAGCATTGCAAAAAATTTGGAACTAATAGGGGATTGTCTTCATTTCAAAATTGAAATAAATACATGTGGATATATGTTGCTTACTGAAGAGAAAATACACAAATAAAGATCACTGGATTAATTTGTATAACACAGTGTTGTTTTACTTCATAGAAAACTGACAATTTGGATTACTTATATTAAATAATTTATTTTAGCCTTTTTCCGGACGAAACTACCCCTGACAACATATAAATATAAAATAGAGAAATAATGAAGGGCAAGATTATTTAAAAAGGATTTTGTCGACCGGATTCGCCAGTAACTGTACAGTTTATGAAGAAGTTTTTCTACCAGCAAAAGATATTTGAAATAATTAAAAAAAATTGCTTCTGTTGTTGTTAGTATTGTTACTAATGATAAAAATAAGAAAAATGCAATAATAATAAAAAAGAACACTATGGAAGGAAAAATGAAAATAATTTGAACAAGTTGTTTATTATGCATGGAAGCATTTTTACGATTTGGTTTATCGGAGGATATTCAACGAGTTCATTTCAATCAACTGATGTGTCTTGATCTTTTTCGAGGCTGTTTTCAAAATGGCATTGCTGAAAATAACGTAAACGCCCCTTCAGTTTAGCTGTTTTCGGTGTGGTTAACAATTTTTCATTCAAAGGTCTTATCCACTAAATTTTATACATAAGAAATACAAATGGTAACATTTTGGCTCAGCATTCGTTCATTGATTCATTTATTGCATATTTCTAACAGGGGCACAGCCCCAAAACATAATAGTCAAAATATAATGATAGTAATACATGAAAAGTTATAAAAAGTAAACTAAGTAAGTAAATTGAAAATGGAAAAGCAAGGATTAAAATTAAAATTCACTACATCCAAATTATTACTTAAAACACAAAAATATTTCTTTTAATGGCCACTTGACTGTCAACAAATGGATCAACGCATGTCACATTCAAAGAACGGACAATTCTATAAACATATTTCGTTGATGGGAGTTGGTTTCGCAAGTGGAAATTTAAAAGATTTCATTCACTCGCAAACTCCGTCGGGGTACCGTTTTTAAGCTGAGTTTTTATAGAATTTTTGGATCTAGCTTTGAACTTAAGGCAGAAGGGTCAAACCCGATGCAAAACTTCAAATCCATTCCCCCAAAATATGTAAATTTCTATGTAGCTGTTGCGATCGAAGACTATTCAGTGGTGCAAGTGGGATGTGTACAAAAGCGTGTACAAAATTAGTCAAATTCGACGAGGATGTGTCGACAACACGAAGGCGAAGCATCCGAAGAGTTGAAATGGACTGCAGGTACGCGGGATGAGACGGTCGATTGAGAAGAAAAAAGAATTAACTCCTCCTGGGAGACACAAGTAAAAAGATCACCAATACCCTTAGGCAAACTAGCATCCCAGACTAATTTTTCTTGACCGAGAGGTGAAATCAAAGCCAATGTTGCCCTACAAGAGATTTGTTCAAGTCAAGCTTAGCTTTTATTAAAGAAATTTCAATAGCATAAAAATCATTGGTTAGTTGACATGTTTGAAGTGCTAAAGTAGCTGAATCAGCGGTCGAAGAAAAAGAGTCAAATTTTCTAACCTGATATATCAGGATCTCAGCCTTCTTAGAGTAGCGAGAGGAAATAAATTCTAACACAGAAGATTTAATATCTTTGGCCAATAGAGAAACTTCCTCATTTGCGTCATAAAGTTTACAGCAAACATGATTTTCTGCCTTCTAGTAAAGCTATTCAATAATTTGCGCTCATCTGCGAAAAAAATAACAAACTTGGTTATTGAAAAGCATTTCCGATGTCTATAAAAAAAAATTGTTTAGGGGACACGGCAGAGGGGGGACTGAGATTTGAAGGTGAACTCATCGGTGGGAGAGGTAGCCGGCATCCTCGTTTATACAAATAAGAATTGCTCATGGTGAAACAGTTTCAGTTGTTGTTAATGGTCGAGGATGAAACTACTTTTTGGATTTGCCTTATTGCCATTGATCTCGGCGGCAAACGACACCATCCCACCCCTCGTTCCAAATTCAATTGTTTCAGGGCTCATTACATTTGTCACGACAAATTTCCTCCCAGTTTTAGGCATACCAACGGTTATTGATAGTAACGCATATGTTCCGGAAGATTTTACCCTCACGGTAAGAAACAAACTTTTGAAACAATTTTAAATGATTGTTAATCTTTAATAGCTTTTAATATTTATTTTATAATAAATTATGCTACTTTATATGGACAACCTTTGTTTTCTTAATTTCGTTAACATAACTTTTTATATTTAAACTATGAATTATTAATTATTGTTACCGCCTTTTGTTTTGATTTTTACTGTTTATTTGACTAGAATTTCAAAAATTGTTGCATAACATCTTTTACTATTATTGAACTTTCTAAAGCATTATTTTTGTTTAATTTGTACACAAATTCATAGACATCTTTTCCTTTACTTTTCTGCTGTCTATTTAATCCTTACAATTTGGGATTGATTGATTGATTGAGAGTTTTATCACGCAAAGTTAGGTCCTTTGGACCTCTCAGACAATTAACGTGAATTACAAATTTTACATTGTACATACATTATAATATAGTCTTCTTTCGTCATTACAATTTGTTTTATAATTATACTTTATAAAGAAGAAATTTTTTTTAATAAAATTTTTTACTAAAAATTTGCCAATAAATTTTTTTTCTAAGTTTATAAATTTATAAGATAAGTAACAATAAAACAAAAAATTAAACTAAACAAAAACAAACTAATAAGTTTATAAGATAATCTTTATTTATATGAATATAAAGATATAATATGACAATTACAAAACTAAAAGACGAAACCTTTACTCATTAAGAATACTTTTATGAAATAATTATTTCACTACATTGTTGAAAGTTATTATTTTTTTATACTTTAGTTATTTTTTTGTTTAATTACAAACATTTAGCTATTAAGTAATTTCTGTGCATTAGTTTAAATTCATACAATTTTGTTACATTTTTTCTTCTGAAGGTAACCCATTATATAATAATAATTTTTATTATAAAAAGGTGTTATATTTATTTTATGAACACTATTAGAGAATATGATTTGATTAGTTATAATTTGTGGTTCTTGAATCATTATTTTCTTTATTAAAGTTACAAGCACTAGTTTTTTTATGATCTTCGATTTTTAAAATATGTAGTACTCTAAATTTATCATACAATCGTTCATACTTAAAATTAACTATGAATCTTTCTCAAGTATTTAATAACATTTGTTAACTTACTATATCGTTATAATCTGCATGCATTGGAGAGAGAGGGAGGGAGAGAGAGAGAGAGAGNAAAGAGAGAGTAAAAGTCATAATGAGAGGAAAGAGATTCATTTTTTGTTAAAATTGATCAAATATACATTACTCTGTATATTAATGATGTTTTATTAGGCCCCAAAAAGAGAAAATGGTTTTGAACAAAGCTTTTTGTTGATTTGAACTTCACATTTTGAACTCTTTAACAGTTAAATTGCGCAGTATAAACTTACGATTTATTGAAGTTTTGGTTTTTGACCAATATTAATGATTGAAATAATTGATAAACTAAATTAACAAAGAATAACGGGTGTTTAAAGAGGTTAAGGCAATAAGAAGAAAAATGGGCTGAACTGTACAAACTCGCTTTTATTTTTGATCTTACATTAGCTGTTTTTGCGCACTGAGTCAGTTTTACCAGAGTACAATGATATTTTTGCACAACTTGATACAATACTCCCCTCGAAATAATGTAGTTCTGCAGCTGATGAGGAAATTGTACACGACGTCCAATGCGTGTGCATGGCGGGTTTGGTATGCCCGAGTCCTGAGGTGGAGAAGGTAATACTGGTGGGGAGGTGTGAGCTGATGAATGTTGGTGGTATTGTATTTCTTGAGAGTTGGTTTTTTACGATCTTTGGATGCTGTAGTAGGCGTATCTCCAATCAGCACATCGAATGTTTATGGTATAGAGCCTTGTAGGGTCCGGTATAATGTTTCTGAAGAGATGCACGTATTCGGTCAAACCTGATTAAGACGTTGAATAACGGGTGAATCCAATTCACGATGCACAAATGGAATTTTTGCGATGAGTGCCAAGCTGTGGATAGTGGGGTGTATAAGTGAGAGTAAGGAGTTGAGCTTGTGAACGTAGTTATGTGTTGGTGACTGATTTGTAGGTTTTTCGAAGAATTGACCTGGAGTCGCAGATTTGTTTCATAGACCATATTAGCGGTAGTTGTTTTGATGGCTTCCTTGTAGGCACAGCTTAATCCTAACAGTAAGTTCTAATGACCAAGAGTATCGATCGGTGTTTATTCTGTTCATAAAAGCAGCTTTCAATGTCCTGACTTGCTTCCCCATGAATCCATTTGCTTGAGGGTGGTACCTTGTAGTGTGACGAACTTCGATGATAAATAAATTGGCAAAACCAGTGTTAAGACTTAAAAGTTTTACATTGATCTGCCACAAGATGAAGAGGTGAACCAAAACTTGATAGCCACCCGAAAAAGAATGTGTTAGTGATAGTTTCCTCTCTTTAGTCTGGTATTGGGAAAGCCTCTACTCATCGCGTGAACAGATTTACACCGGTGAAAAGGTAGTTGTTGCTTCTGGATGGTTGTAGTGATCCAATCGTCCGGTTTCAGAAAGCTAGTAATTGGTGTTCTCCTTACGGAAGTTTGGCAGGTGTGACACTGTCGAACAAAATGTGTTTTGTCTTGTTTTCTTGCTAGGCCAAGCAAATCTTTCTGATATTAGTCGTTAGGTTGATTTTGCACCAGGATGAACTATGGAATGGAACTGTTAAGAAATTTCACGTTGAAATGTGTGAGGGGCTGTTGTTGTCGCGACTTGTTGAAATATCGTAGTAGAAATCTGAATCTTCCAAGTGTAATTACTATTTGTAAACCAGTTTAGCTGTTGAAGTTTAGTAAGCTAAGCATCGTGGATTTCCATCCTGATCTTGGAAAATGACGCTACCTATGATAATGTTAGATGCGTCAGCTATTAAGGATAATTTTACGGTGGGATCTGGAAAACTTAATGTGATTTTCAATTGTAATATCCTTTTGCATTTGTCGAAAGCAGTGTCCAGTTCTGTGGTCCGTGTTGTACGTGAATTGTCCTTTTTGGTAGAATGAAGATGTAGAGGTGCTTGGATTTGACTATACGTGGAAAGAATGGGAGATAAAGATTTGACGTAATTTGTGTAGTGAAATAGTTTGTGGGTTGGAAAAGCTTAGAAAGCATATATATTTTCAATCATGGGTGAAATACCATTTTATGATATATGGTATATTAAAAACTCAACCTCTGGTATGGTGAAAGTGCTCTTGTTCACATTGACAAACCATGCGTTCCAAGACTTGAAAATAGAATATTTAGATGTTTGATATGGTCTTCCATGTTGGGAGAGAAGAATATTATCAATGTAGACATAAATTAACGAAAGGTCTCTCGTAGAAGAATAAATAAATGTTTGAAAGTTTGTGATGCATTGCATCAAGTTCAAAAATGCAAACGAACCGAAAGGAATGGTTACAGCTGTTGTAATTGATAACTGATATCTGAAGGGCCTTTGTGAGGTAAATAACTGAAAATATGTTGAAGCCCTTGAGCCGGATGAGCAGTCTTTTATGTTTGGGATGGGGTATCTATTCGGAATTGTTTGTAAGGTGAGTTTTCTGCAATCACCACAAGGACGCCAATCACCTGTTTTCTTCTCAATTAGGTTTGGGCCGGCCATGATATACACGCTTTTGGAGCATGAACTGAAAGTCTTGTTTGGCAATGTAGATTAGTTTATCTGGTGGTAGACGACCACGCTGCTGTCGTATGTGATTTTGTGTTTTTCTATGAGAAAACTAATCCAATAAGGTGTTTGCGAAGTTATTATGCTCTTGGATGATTGGACTATATAAGGTTCGCCGGTGACATTAGTGTATTGAGTCTATTTAGTTTGTGCTTTAGGTAAACTAAACTGATGGCAGATGCGAAGGAAGTAGGCTCCTAGAATTGGACAGTTTACATTAGCAATCTTCAAAACAAATGTAATCCAAAAACTAAGTGAAGTAGACGTTGGCCATAAGCGGTAATTTTTGTTTGAAAAGTGGAAACAGCGAGAAGTTTTGTCCCCCTCTTCAACGACCAAAAATTGGATTGGGGGTTATTTCCCGATGAAGATATAAAAGTACAATCCTTTTAAAAAGACAGTTCCTACTCACAGTAAGATGTTTCGCAATGATCCGGATTTCGAGTTTTTAGCTCATCATCAGGTTGAAGGAGTTCTAAAACCACGTCTTTCGACATGAATAGCAAAAGTGAACCGAGATACCCCCGCCAACGCGACGTTCCAATGAGAAGCTGGTTTTAATGCCGTTCAATTTTGAACGTTCGGAAAGCGGAAATTATAACACAAGTAGATATTATATTAGTAAATACTGTACCACTCAACCAAGTTCTCCACCATTCATCATTTCTATCATAAAAGTACAGGTGTATTTTGTATAAATTTTCTATGATAAAAAATCCCATTTGTAAGTATATAATGAAGGGCCGCTGGATTCGAACCCGGGACCCTTACCTTAAGTGATGAGCTTCGTGTCAACGCCTAACCGTTGCGGCCACCGACGCCCCTTCTATTGTTGTTATCAGGTAAATTAATTTAGTTGTCGAGTTTGTAAGTTTTGGCAGTGGAAGTGTAATTCTCAAAACAGATCTGAGGGTCTGAATTTCAAAATTTGTTAAGTTTTTCTCTTACACGGCTTCAAATTGAGCCTACATTCTCTCTAGGTGGTGTCACTGCTATCTTAAACAAAAAATATATATCCAGTCCAGCCGTCGAGATCCAACAAAAGGCGGGTCGGGTCACGTGCCATGAGAAGACGACGATTCCGTTTTGTACAGACGCAAACGGATGATCGTCGTGGTCACCAATTTGGTTTATGACCATATAATTATTATTGAAATAATTGATAAACTAAATTAACAAATAACAGTTGTGTTAATAATTAACAGTTGGTGTTTAAAACAGTTTAAGGCAATAAGAGAATTGTTGGGCTGAACAACCTCGGTTTTATTACCTATCTTACATTGGAAGTTTTGGCGCATTGAGTCTGTGTCGTTTATACACAATATGCTTGTGCGCAATTTGATGTGGTTAAATTAATGGTTGAAAATGGCTAAGTTGGTTTACAAAAACAACCGACCACCTGATTTTTGCACGAAAAAAGGCCAACTTTGGTAATGTATATTTTCTCGGCCTTATAAGTCACAGACCTGCGCTAGGCCTCATTTTTTAAAAAATTTTACGTTCAACAAGGTGGCTTTTTTAAACGTTTTTCTGGCTTCAATCATTCATCAGTAAATTCAAAAATTCGGGAACTCGTTAATTTTTTGCAATTTTTACAAAAACTTCAAATTGAGCTGTGGAGCCATAAATCGTAGCGGCCCCCATGGGAATCGATAGGAAATTTGAATAAATTTTCAATTGGTCACCTTCCACTTTGCCCGATTTCTAAACCGTTTTTTGACTTATTCGCATTTTTGGTGGTTTTTTACGTGCTCATGGAACACTCTCTTTCTCTCGATTTTCGAGAATGCATAAATTGTGAATTGTAAAGTTTTCGCAAATTTTATGGTCTACAACTTTTGTTCCGAGGACTTTTTCAAAAAGCGAACAGGAAAGAGACAATCGTTACGTTTTCTTATTCTGACCTTTTGAGATGCGGAATGCTTCCGTTGATAACAACTTTTTCACCTCTTCACGGAAATTCAACTTTTTTGCCCAAAAATCGCAAATAAGTCAGAAGGATTTCCTGGTTCCACAGCTCAATTTGAATTTTCCGTCACAAGTTCAAAAATTAACATGTCGAATTTTTGAATTTACTGATTAATGACTGAGGCTTGAAAAATATTTAAAATAGCCAATTTGTTCAGCGTAAAATTTTTGTACAAAATAAAACCTAGCGCAGGTCTGTGACTTAAAAGGCCGAGAAAATATATATTTCCAAAGTAAGCCATTTTTTCGGGCAAAAATCACGATCGGTTTTGTTTATGAGCAGTGTAAAAGCGAGGGGAAAAAATGACAATCAGAAGTTAAACTAATACATTTATGTGAGCATGATTTGCCATATTTCGTAATTACTTTGGCTACAGTAGTGTTTGGCTTAGGCTTAGGCAAAGTTTACTCATGGACAATTTGTGCACACATATCCGGGTTTTTCCCGATAATTACTACAATTCAACGGATGAAGGGATTGATTCAGAACAGGTTTTTCTCTCACTTCTTAACGTTTCCTTGATGTTTCTGCCAACATCCTCCTTTTTTCTAACTTTGCCGTTTATGGCCCAAGGCGGAATGACCGCGATTGTTAATAAAAATGTTAAAATCTTGTGCACGAGTTCCGCTTGTCGTTTTGGCGTTCAAATATACGAATTTCATTTTCTCCGGATTCGCTGGTTTTAATAACCCTGGCTTTTATTTCCGTCTTGTAGAAATTAGGATGAAATATAGTCATCTACAGAAAAGGATATCAAATGTACCTCTATGTGGAAGGCGGGTCGTCGGTTACAATCATTGCCTTCGATTTTATTTCAGTCAACAAACACTTTTGATTTGGTTAAATAGTCACAACTTTCTAATCTTTTGCAATTGTAGGACACTCTAATTAAACAGAATGGGTATGGGTATGAGCTACATAAAGTCGTCACCGAAGACGGCTACGTTCTTAGCCTACACAGAATACTTCCGCCCAATGGTACAGACCCTGGCAACAGAATGCCAGTTTTACTTCAGCATGGGGTTTTGGCTTCTTCGGATTCATGGCTTGTAGGTCCAAACTCAGGTTTAGGTAAGAAAAATGTTTTTTTTTTTAAATTTTGGAATATAAATTTATTCAATAAAAGATTTTATATAAAGCTTTCTTACTCGTTGACTATGGTTATGATGTCTGGCTTGCCGACCAACGTGGGAATGCTTACTCTAAGGGTCATGTGAGATACTCAGTTAAAAATTCTGAATATTGGAATTTCACGTACATATATTAATTTTATTTTCTTAATAATTATTAATTTGTCAACTTATTACATTTTTTTTTTAGTTTTCATGAAAGCGGAATGTTTGACTTACCAGCTTTTATAGACCGGGTATTAAATGTAACTGGTAAACCACAATTGTTTTACATTGGCCATTCGATGGGAACAACTGTTTTACTTACAATGGCGTCTATGAGACCCGAGTATAATGATAAGGTATTTTAAAATAACGAGAACAACTGAATTAGTTAACAGAATTTGCTGAAAAGAACCTTAACTGGATGTAAACATTAACAGTTGAAAGCTGCTGTACTTCTTGCTCCTGTTGCAACAACTCCCACACTTTCAGAAATATATCAAACCGTTATCAGGCTGCTTATCTTGTACGCTGATGCCATAAAGGTATGCAGAAGACTAACAAAATTAATATTAGCAGTTGAAAAATTTACTTTCTTTAGTTTGGGCTTATTTTCTCTTTGAGCTATTGCAAGAGTAACTAAAAAAATAATTAAAAAATCTGAATTATTCCTTTTAAAATAAGATGGGCAATGTTTAGAATTATAAATGGATGAAGTTAATTTTTTCAAGCTTTAGAGTTTAGCAAATAACTTGTCACTCATCAGTATGATTTTTGTGTGGAAATTATTACTTCAATTGATTTTAATGTACTCACATTAAATATAAGTGTTTAGACCCCCCTTTGCTGAATGATGAACACCAACTTCCTATCTCAACTCCACCTTTTGAGTTTTCCCTCCTTTTTGCCATTTTTCAAATGTCGTGTAATCGGATTGGATTCTCGGCGACTTTTTTATCTCAACTAAAAACCTTAATTAATTGTAATACATTAATTAGTCAAGCGGACCACGAAATTAGTGAATTTAATGAATTAAAATGAAGTATACTAAAGCTTTCCGTGGCCATTTCATTTGTCGCCGAGAATCCAATCCGATTACACGACATTTCAAAAATGGCAAAAAGGAGGGAAAACTCAAAAGGTGGGGTTGAGATAGGAAGTTGGTGTCCCAGTGGATCGAGGTCATGATAGCTCAAGTGGTAGAGCAGCGGCGTACTAGCCGAAGATCGTGGGTTCGAATCCCGCTCGTGCCATTGACTTTTTTATCTCAACTAAAAACCTTAATTAATTGTAATATATTAATTGGTCAAGCGGACCTTCCTATAGATCAATCATAATATTAAATGTAAGTGTTTTGACGCCTTTTACTGTATCTATAGTCAACATATTTTTTTTAACTTTCAAGGAATCCTATGATAGGCAGCATAAATATGAATTTTTTCCAAGGAGTGGGGAACTTATCAAGGCAATCAGAAGAAACTGCGCACCTGATGCTTCTATGTTCGACTTCTGTTTGGATGTACTTGGAATGGGATATGGCGAAAATAGAGCTAATTTGGATAGAGTAAGACAAAAAGTATTAACATTTTGAGATTTTAATTTTTTTTTTGCATTTTCTGTAGAATACAATTGGCAAATCTGTAAGTTACCTGCCATCAGGCACTTCGCTTAATACTATGGCCCACCTTACACAACTCTATAAAACGGGTAAATATTAAAGAGCCTTTCTCCGTCAAATTAACCCTTTTTCGCTCCTAATTAACCATTTTTAATTTCAAATTAACCCTTTTTAATTTCACACTAATTCTTTTTACATTTAAATTAACCTTTTTATAATTTCAAATTAACCCTTTCTTTAAAGTATTAAAAAAAACTCAGGTGATGGTATGATAGAAGCATGTGAATATTCCTTTATATTTGAAATTTTTTAAATATAGAATAATTTGGTTTTAAAACACCATGTGAAAATTAAGAAAAATTGTGGTCTTTAAGAGCCCAAATATTAAATATTTTAAAAATTCTTAAAAGACGAATAATGTTTTTATATTTACCTTTACAGTATATCATTTGTAATTTTTATTAACATTAATGTCCATATGATTTTCTAAGAATCAAGTTATTTTATTTTATTTAATGCATGAATTACGTGTTCACATTTCATTCCATATCCCAGTTTTCTGATGTTTTACGGGCTAATTTGAAATTAAAAAGGGTTAATTTGAAAGTAATAAAAGGTTAATTTGAAATTAAAAAAGGTTAATTTGAAATTAATAAGGGTTAATTGAATGGGATAAAGGGTTAATTTCACAAAATAAGCTATAGATACATCATTTTTGTTGAATTACAAGAATTAATGTTTTTAAATTTAGGGTTCAGGCTTTACAACTATGGAAAACTGAAAAACCTGGAAGTTTACGGCTCAGATATGCCTCCATTTTATCCCTTGGAGAGGGTAACAACTCCAATTGCAATTTACTATGGCGACAATGACACGTTAATGAACAGAAGGGTAAATTTTATATTTATTTGTTGTGCTACGATTTTCTATTTAACTCAATTAACTTTCAGTCTGCAGTAGAACTGGCGAGCATGCTGCCAAACCTGATAATTAATAAGGTGGTAGCAGATCCGAAATTTACTCATATGGATTTTATATTTGGAATAAATGCAAAAGAAGTGTTGTATGATGATGTGGCTAATTTGTTGGATTCAATACGATAAGCATTACATTACCAAAAAATTTCGGGTTATATTCTAGTCTTCTAAAAAAATACATATTTTATAGTAAAATATCAATAAATTATTAATTAAATACATATTTTTTTACTTTATTCCTTTATCGAATATGATTGTCAAAAAGAAAAATATGTTGTATTTGTCTTACTATATTAAATTTATAATTTGATTATATTATTATATTTCTTAAATAGCGGACAAAGAGCTACCTTTACTCAGAAGCAAAACCAAAAGACCATTCAATCAACAAAAATTACACCTAAACAGGGTTAGTAAAGAAACTTTTGGGCTACTCGCCCATTTTTGCCATTTTACAGTCTTATCGATATTTTAAGTAAATTATATGATCTATTCATTTAGAATAGGCTGAAAAAACAGTTAAAAACAAAAGAAACGAATAACAAATTTAAAAATCTTGAAAATAGCACATGCGAAGCAGCCAAATTCGGCCGATACGCACCTTTATGCCATTTTTCATTGTAATCAAAATTTTATGTATATTATACAATCTATTCGTTTGGAATAGGCTGAATAAACAGTTCATAACAAAAGAAACGAATAACAAATTTAAAAATTCTTTAAAATAGCAAATGCGAAAAAGTCAAAATTGGGCGATCCGCCCTTTTTGCCATTTTCCAGTCTTATCGATATTTTAAGTAAATTATATGATCACTTCATTTGGAATAGGCTGAAACAAGTTTATAACAAAAGAAACGAATAACATATCTAAAAACCTTGAAAATAGCAAATGCGAAAGAGCCAAAATTGCCCCTTTTTTCATTTTTATCGATATTATACGATGTATTCGTTTGGAATAGGCTGAAAGGAGCGGAGAACCCATCTGTGAAAAACATGCGGCTGCAGTAGCATGAGGAGGAATAGAGGCCGGCAAAAAGACCATCTGCGAAATCACGCCGGATGCAAAAGCAGGTCTAATTTAGCCGGCAAAGATACCATCAGCGAAATCGAGCTGGCTGCAGAAGCTAAGCTGTACAAACGAATTCTACAATAAAATATGGGATTCTCATTTAAAATAACAAAGTTATTATCATTTTCCAGCTAGATGAGACAGTTATGTTATATCTGTTACCACCACGCGATTCTTAACCAATATAACTTTGGGTTTATATGACCTTTTTTTCTAAATTTAATCGTTTTCGAATTAAATGAGTGAACTACAGAAGCTGACACACTCTGTATATAAAATTTCTACTTATTATATTTGGAACAAAAATACCACCATTTCCTCCTCTTCGTCTCAAGCCAGCAGCTGGCCAGTTAATAACGTCTTTAGAATGCTCTGTTTTCAGCTAGTGTCAGTAATCTTAAAAAAGTATTTTAAATTTATTTTTTATATATGTTATGAACTAATTTTTGATAAAATAATTGAAAAAATAGACATCACGAAGATTAATTTGAACGTCGTCAAACCCCAAAACACAAACGATAGCTTTGCAGAAAGTACTTGATTAACCGATTACGATCGTTGGCAAAAATGCCTTCATTGCTGCTCCTGTTGCCCTATTTTCCCATTTATGCTCCAAAATTGGGTAGTTTCTTTTGCCAATCAATTCGCTTCCTTATTTCTTCTTGTTGAAACGTTTGACTTCACATGTTTCAGACTCTCTCCACCCTTCATGTTAAACCTTTTGCTTGAGATTCCACTAACCAGTTGATGTTACGTTTTGGTGCTTCTGAGTATTGAAATTAAGCTTTTGGTAGTTGCTATTGCAACTGATGTACTACCTAATTCTAATGTTCTTATATTCTGCTATTTAACTAGCAACAGTGACTTCACAATGGTTGGTGACATTTCAGTTAGGTTATTCGAGTACCAACCTGCCAACTTGTACTTCTTACAACGAATAAATTCCTCATTTTCAAAACCCACGCACATCCAACTTGTGTCCAATCTTCTTGCTTCCGTTGGAGTAAATATTAAATTAGTACACATATATCAACAGAACAGTCCCTGTCTTAAAGAACCTAGATAGCGTAGAATATGGATTGGCTCGTCTAAATCAATATTACATTCCAGTCCAATTTTATCGTAGTTTGAACTTCACGGATATGCCCTGAAAAGAGTGCTGTAAGATAAGAAGTTTCTTCACTAATACCATTCAGCTGTAATTTTTTTTAAAAACCTTTTCTTTTTAATTTTTGAATGGGCTTTTGGTTTTGCTTCTGTGTAAAGATAGCTGATTGTTTGATAGTTTATGTAGTAATAAGATATATGCAACATATTTTTTTAAATCACATTATGTGTAGGGTTGGAATAAAGAAAAATATGTATTTGATTAATAATTTATTGATATTTTATGGCATTATTTTATATATATATATATATATATANCATAAGGTATATAACATTAAAATTACCACACAGATTAAGAAAATATTTGGAATTGATAAGTCTAAACTTTCGATTCAAGACCAGAAAATAATTAGCAATTTTATGGTAATGTAATGCCTATTGGATCGATTCCAGCATATTAATGACATCATCATACACCATTTCTTTTGCATTTATGCCAAATAGAAAGTCCATATGGGTAAATTTCGGATCAGCTATCATCTTATTTATTATTAGGTTTGGCAACATGCTTGCGAGTTCAGCGGCAGACTGAAAGTGAAATTGAATTAAATGGAAAATCGTAGCACAACAAATAAATATAAAATTTACCCTTCCGTTCATTAAAGTGTCATTGTCCCCATAGTAAAGTGCAATTGGAGCTGTTACCCTCTCCAACGGATAAAATGGAGGTTTATCTGAGCCATAAATTTCCAAATTTTTCAGCTTTCCATAGTCGTAAAGCCTGAAACCTTAAATTGACAAACTTTTAATTCCTATAATTAAAAAAATGCGCCTAAAGCTATATACAATTAACTCTTTTCCATTGAAATTTAATTTTAAAAAATTTAAATTTGACATGTTTTTAACTTCAAATTAACAATTTGTAGTTTCAAATTAACTTTTTTTAAACTTAAAATGTACCATATTTAATTTGCAATTAACCAAATCTTTAGAATATCAGAAATTCTAAGAAATGGAATGAAATGTAAGCACGTAAGAAATAAGTCGTGCTTAACAACTAAAAAATAAAATAATTGAACTTTTATAAAACCAACCATGTGGAAACTAATTGTTAAAAATGATATAAAATTAAAAATAAATGTGTGTTTTTTAATGAACGTTAAATAATTTGTTGAAGTCGTAGCGGAGCGGTCAATAATGAAATATTTAAAAAAAAACACCTTTGTAATTTTTTAATCTTTGTGTACGGTATTGGTTGAAATGAAAATGTTAGTATCACGAGAGGGATTCGAGCCCACGATCTTCGGCTAGATACGCCGCTGCTCTATCACTTGAGCCAGCGTGGCGATCAAGTGGTTAGAGCAGCGGCGTATTTAGCCGAAGGTCGTGGGTTCGAATCCCGCTCGTGACACTAACTTTTTCATTTCAACCAATACCTTACATAAAGATTAATTAATTGAAAGAAGTTATTTGGTCAATCGCACCACAAAATATAAAGGATTTCTTATTTTTATTTATTTTTTCGGCAAAATACTTTCAACTACTTTTCTAAAATATTTCATTCTTGATCGCTCCTCACGATTTTAACAAATTATTAAATATAATAACAAACGATTCTTTTCAATTTGAAAATTTTTGATTTTTGAAATTCGGCTCTTAAAAACCAAACTTTCTCAATGCAAAAGAAAAATCCTTTAATAGAATTTATTTTAAGTCTTTTCAGAGGATCTTCGGAAGAGGTCAAAACAGAGAAAACTTCCTTACGGTTTTCGCCGAGCTTTCGACAGTTTTATGCCCTGAAGATGACAGTATAGACAGTTTTCTCTGTTTTGACCTCTTCCGAAGATCCTCTGAAAAGACTTCTTGTATCCAGCAGGTCGATTATCTAGTTCATCGTTAGAATTGATTTTATATAAAGTTTTATTTTATTTATAATTAGTTTTCATATGGTTTTCTAAGAGCACAAATATTTTATATTAAACAAATTCTCAAACATACTGGTTTTTTCCTTGACATGCTTATACCATTACCACCTCCTAAGTTTTTTGAATGGTTTAAAGAAAAGGTTAATTTGAAGTAAAAAAAGGTTAATTTGGAATTAAAAATGGTTATCTGGTGTTAAACAGGGTTAATTTTAAATGACAAAAAGGGTTAATTTGACGGGGAAAATCTATTTAATAGTTACCTGATTTATAGAGATGTGCAAGGTGGTCCATAGTTTTAATAGAAGTACCTGTTGGTAGGTAACTTGCAGATTTGCCTATTGTATTCTAGATAAATCATACAAAAATTAATATCTTAAAATGTCAATCCATTTTTTTTACTTACTTTATCAAAATTCGACCTATGTTCACCATATAGTAATCCGATCACATCCAAACAGAAGTTTAGTACAGGAGAGCCAGGTACACAATACTTTCTAATACCTTTAATTAGTTCTCCATTTCTTGGTAAAAATTCATATTTATGGTCCCTGTCATAGGATTCCTTGAAAGTTAAAAACATACATGTTGACTATAGATTCAGTAAAAGGAGCCAAAACAGTTACATTTAATATTATGCATTTATGTTTTAGTGGACGATTGACCAAGTTACTTCTTTCAATTAATTATTCTTTTTATGTAAGGTCTTGGTGACAAATGAAAATCGCAAAAAGAGGGGAAATTCGAACGGTTGTGGGTTGATATGGAGAGTTGGTGTCCGAGAGGATCAAAGTCACCATAGCTCAAGTGGTAGAGTGGCAGCGTATTAGTCGAAGGTCGTGGGTTCGAATCTCGCTCGTGACACTGACTTTTTTGTCTCAAGACCTTATATAAAAATTTAATAATATGATTGATCTACTGAAAGGCATAGACAAAAAGAGATGTAAAAGTATTAACATTTAAACAACAATAATAGAGTATTCTGACATGATGGTTTTTGGTCAGGGTTTGGTGGGAAAAAAGCTTGAAAAAACTTTAATCATTCATAAATCCTAAACCTTACTCGTGCTTATATTAAAAGAAATCATTTATATTTCTTTGTTATCTTTTGATTTAATAATAACCCTTAGTAAAGCATAAAAGCTCACAAAGAAAACATAAGGAAAGCAATTTTTCGACTAATACTATTAATTTTGGTGGTGTTCCACATACCTTTATGGCATCAATGTATCGTATAGCTAGCTGTAGAGAGGTCCGATTTAGCTCTGAAAGTGTGGGAGCAGTTGCAATAGGAGCAAGAAGTACAGCAGCTTTCATCTGTTAATGTGTACATCCAGGTAAGGTTCTTTTCAGCAAATTCTGTTAAATTATTCAGTTTTTCTCATTATTTATAAAATACCTTATCATTGTACTCGGGTCTCATAGACGCCATTGTAACTAAAACCGTTGTTCCCATCGAATGGCCAATGTAAAACAATTGAGGTTTACCAGTTACGTTTAACACACGGTCTATAAAAGCTGATATGTCAAACATTCCGCTTTCGTGAAAACTAAAATTTAACAAAAAGTTTTGAATTGACAGTCTAATAATTATTAGGAAAATAAAATGAATATATGTACGAGAAATTCCAATATTCAGAATCTTTAACTGAATATCTCACATGACCCTTAGAGTAAGCACTCCCACGTTGGTCGCCAAGCCAAACATCATAACCGTGATCAACGAGTAAGAAAGCTTTGAACAAAATTTCAATGAATAAATTCATTTTCAGACATTTTTTTAAACATTTTCCTTACGTAAATTTGACTTTGGCGCTACAAGCCATGAATCCGACGAAGCCAAAACCCCATGCTGTAGAAAAACTGGCATTCTCTTGCCAGGGTCTGCACCATTGGGCGGAAGTATTCTGTGTAGGCTAAGAACGTAGCCGTCTTCGGTGACGACTTTATGCTGCTCATAGCCGTACTCATTCTGTTTAATTAGATTTCCCTATAATTTAAAGAAGTGGATTGTCAAAAAAGATTAGTTAATATTTTTGATTGTGATTATTTAACCAAATCAAAAGAGTTTGAGAAAGTTACGCTATTCTAAAAACCAAATTATAAGGATTAAATAGTCGCGAGAAAAGGATATACCGCGATGTTTGTTATTTTTTATAGGAATTAAACAAAAATATACTTTTGAAAGTTCAATAATACAAAAAGATATATTGTAATGTTTGAAAAGCTAGCTAGTTTAAATATAAAAACTTATGATTATTTGGAGATCGTGAGATGAGGTCTGGTGTGACATAGGTTTTAGAAAAACATTTTCTTTATCGTACCAACGTTTCGATCTTTATTGAGACCATCTTAAGGGCTCAAAGTGTTTGTTTTCCGTGTGGATGTGTCATTGTGTGTCGTTTTGTTGCAATGTTGAATCGTGTGTGTTATGGTTTAAAACATTACACGGTGGATGTGATCTGTCTGTGTGTCGTCTGTCTGTCTGTCTGTCTCTCTCTCTCTCCCTCCTCTGTTGCCATCCCTCTCACTCTTTCTCTCTTCTGTTGAGTGAGAGCGAGAGGAGAGAGAGAGCGAGAGAGAGAGAGAGAGACAGACAGACAGAGAGAGAGAGAGAGAGAGAGAGAGAGAGAGAGAGAGAGACAGACAGACAGAGAGAGAGAGAGAGAGAGAGAGAGAGAGAGAGAGAGACAGACAGACAGACAGACAGACAGACAGACCACATCCACCATGTAATGTTTTAAACCATCACACACACGATTCAATATTGCAACAACACAACACACAAGAATGACACATCTACACGGAAAACAAACTTTTTGAACGCTGAAGATGATCTCAATAAAGATCGAAACATTGGCATGGTAAAGAAAATGTTTTTCTAAAACCTACGTCACACCAGGCCGCATCTGACGATCTCCGAAAAATTTTTAACTAACGGTCACTAAACACCACATAAAAACTATGTTAACAAAATTAAGCAAGCAATTCGAAGTTATATAATTAATTGTATAAACATATTTATAGCTATTAAAAATTAAAAATCGTTTAAATTGTCTCAAAAATTCGGTTCTTACCGTAAGGGCAAAATCTTCTGGAACATGGGCGTTATTGTCAGGAACTGTCGGTGTGCTTAAAATTGGGATTAAACCCGTCGCGACCAATGTAATAAGCTCTGAAACAACTGGATTTGGAGGGAGGTGTGGGATGAGATCGATTGCGGCCAGGAGCGGTGGCAATAAGGCAAAGCTAAAAAGTAGTTTCATCCTTGGCAATTAACAACGACTGAAACCTTTACTATCAGCAATTCTTATTTGTATTAACGTGGATGCCGGCTACTTCTCCCACCGATGACTTCACCTTCATTCATATCTCAACCCCCTCACGGCCATATGCCCCCTATACAATTTTTAATTTTTAAATAACAACAAATTTATTTAAATAGGGGTCATAGGCAGATTTTCCAAATCCAAAAATCTAACCAAATTTATATTATCATTCCCTTTTATAAGCATTTCAAAACAAACAGCTGGAATTTAGACTGTTTTGTATATGCTTTAAAAAAAATTTTCTACTTAGATATGTTTTAACATTTTTTAAAATTATTCAGAAATCGTGAGATGCGGTCTGGTGTGATGTAGGTTTCAGAAAAACATTTTCTTTATCGTGCTAACGTTTCGATCTTTATTGAGATCATCTTCAGGGCTCAAAGTGTTTGTCTTCTGTGTAATTGTGCCATTCTTCCGTGTCGTGTTGTCACTCTCAACATGACACATCTACACGGAAAACAAACACTTTGAGCCCTGAAGATGATCTCAATAAAGATCAAAACGTTGGCACGATAAAGAAAATGTTTTTCTGAAACCTACATCACACCAGACCGCATCTCACGATTTCTGAATAATTATCGATTAACTGTCACTAATCACCACACATTTTTTAAAATATAGTTTTCAAAATAATATTATGGATTTTTAAAAGTAAATTATTCTTTGTGATTGTGATTCAAACTTTTTGCAATGCTTTTGAGTTGTCCAAAGAGGAAAATTGCATGGCGGCATGCCAAAAAAATTTTAATTACATTAAATTCCCTTATCAACTTGGTGATTAATGTATTATTGGCTCGACATAAAAACAGCGGAACGTGTTTTCTCTTATGTCGAATCCATTATCCTGTAACCGTGACTTTGTCATAAACATTATTTTGTCTTCTGTGCCATTATATTTGCATCTCGGGAAGGTTAAACCTGAAAGTGAACCCCAGTACGTAAAGAATAATTATTATATTATTAAATAACTCTAACAAAAATGGAATATTGTTCCAACAATTATTAAGAAATCGTGAGATGCGGTCTGGTATGATGTAGGTTTCAGAAAAATATTTTCTTTATCGTGCCAACGTTTCGAACTTTATTGAGATCATCTTCAGGGCTCTCTCAACACGACACGCAAGAATGGCACAATTAAACAGAAGACAAACACTTTAACCACTGAAGATGATCTCAATAAAGATCGAAACGTTGGCACGATAAAGAAAATATTTTTCTAAAACCTACATCTACACCAGACCGCATATCACGATTTCTTAATAATTATCGATAAACGGTCATTAATCGCCACACATTGTTCCAACAGTTTTACTAGAATAATTCTCTCAAGAAACAGAAAATGAAATCACTATATAACAACAAAATTGTGCCTTTTTATTTGATGATAAAGATAATTTAGCAGTTATGTTTTGATAAAGGAAAAACCTTCGGTAATATTATCGTTTAACGTGCCAACAAATTAACGCGAGCGGGGTCCAAGGATTTTCAAATTTTCAATAATGAACAATTTAAAGATAAAAACAAAAATGAGAGAACATTCTTTAACAACGTACTCATTTCAAATTTTGTTTGCGTTGTAAAATAACAAATTAACGATTTCCCAGTAAAATTTGGAAAACATTTATTTTTGTATTGTAAACGTTGTTTTTCAACGACAGAAAAAACTGTTGTTATAAGCCAAATTAATACCGACTCATGAATATTTTGATATTTTATTATTCTAAAACAATACCATTAGTAATTTGTTTTTATATATTTTAAATGTTATTAAGATCAGACTAATTTTTTCTTAGGGTTTTGTAAGTCTCGAATTATGGATGAAGACTTTAAGAGCATCATACACTTTTATCGATAATTTGTTAGGCTGTGTTTCAATTTTTATATCAATTTCAATTATCAATGAAAATAAATTTAAATTACAGATTAAAATATAATTTCACTGCTAAGTAAGTTTTGCCATGTGTGTTGTATAAAGGAATAAAAATATACTATTTTCACGTAACTTTTTTCCACGAATCAGAAAAACATAATGTTATTGCAATAAAGCGTATGGTTCACTGACAAAATTATCATTTATTAATTATAATTATTATATTATTATAAATGTATATATTATGTTTTATTTTAGAAGATGTTTATTATATTTCTTCATTATAGGAAGTGTTACACACTAGATGTATTATGTTATTACATTTCGTTTTTATATATATATATACACTGACAGGCAAAAATTCCACTCAACCGATTTTTTTTTCATTTTCTCGATGAAAGAAAATTCTGGCCTTAATTTGTCTCTTTGTTTTTATCAATAAATATTGGTTTATGGCATGTTTTACACTGGGAATATCAATTAGACGTAAACACACTTAATCCTTAATCTAAACCAAAGATAAAGCATTTTTCAATGTTTAAATTTTATGAGATTTAAAATGTTTACTCAGCCTCATTTGAATTCTGAAGCAATAAACTGTTTAGTTTACATCTTTGTTTTCTTAATTTCAATTTTTAAACTTAAATGTGCCATTTAGTGCTGAGGATGTTGCGCGTGGTGTGGCACTTACGATGGACGTTCCTCAGGTATTCGGCTATTGTTGCCATCGGAGTTCCCTACGAAAATCTGCAATACGCCTTTAGACGTTTTCGAGAAACTGGGTCCTACCACAGAAGCCCCGGTTCTGGACTCCCTAGGGCTACAGAACCAAAGGATGACCGTTTTTTGACTTTGAGAATTTTTTGAAACAGTCACCTTACCCATGTTCAATCCACTCATTAGCTTCAGGAAGTTCTACATTTCCAAATTTCTGAACGCACTGCTCGAGGAAGATTAAATCAGAGATGGCTTTTCGCCCCGTAAGAGGACCAGAATTGACCAGAACACACAGAGTTGCACGGCTCGCATTTGCTCGGGAACACAACCATTGGTTTTGGACGATTTGTCTGCCGTAAGTTTTACAGATGAGTGTAGATTTAGACTCGCTATGGGGATGAAATTTTGGAACATCTGCGTTGTCTATCCTCGATGAAATCAGCGACGGTCCTATTCCAATGCACGACAATACCCGTCCACATGTCGCTCGCATAGTACCTTCAACAGCATAACGTCAGGGTCTTAGCCTGGCCAGCCCATTCTCTAGACTTGAACCCAATCGAACATTTCTGGGATAACCTCAAAAGACGAATATGTCCATCACTTCCTGATATTCTCCACGATCTTCAAAGGTCTCTTCGTGAAGAATGGGCTAACCTCTTGCAAAGAAACATTTCCAGACTGGTAGAAAATATGCCGAAGCGTCTTCGAGATGTAATTAAAGTAAAAGGAGGAAATACGCGATATTGAAATGTTAATTAAAAATCTAAAACAAAATTTAAAAATTTTTATTTGTCCGTCTTTTTTAATTTGCCAATTTACTTAGCAATTTAATTTTTTTTTAGACAAAGACTCAATTATTAAACCTTAAAAAACGTGGAACTTTGATTAATGTACAAATCAATTTATATTACAAGTGGGCGGAATTTTTTGCCTGTCAGTCTATTTATTATTAAACTTATAAAAAAATTATATAATCTAAAAAATAAAAATCAGAATAACCAAATTTATATTATCATTCCCTCAATTCACGTTTCAAAACAAACAAAATTTGGAATTTTGACTATTTTATTTGTACCAGAAAATTACATTACCAATTGAGATTTTTTCATTTTTTTTGTTAAATATAGTTTTCGATTAGTTAATTATAACGGCAATGAAAGCTCTCTACACAATGGTACATGTTATTACCCTTCACAGGTTTTATCACAGCATGCAACCTTGTACAACATTCCAAACCAGCATTACCGGAAATATGTTTTGTATACCGGCATAGGTGATTAATCATCCCGTACCCATGAAAGCAAATTGAGATCAAAGTTAAGTAAATAAAAGGACAGACAAATTATTTAAAAATGAGTCTAAATACTATATCAAGGATAAAGGATTTTTCAATGTTTACTCTTTACGGAATTTAAAATGTTTATTCAGTCTCATTTGAATTCTGAAGCAATAAACTGTTTAGTTTTCATCTTTGTTTTCTTAATTTCAATTTTTAAACATAAAAATGCCATTTATGATGTGGTACGTGGTGTGGCACGTGGTGTGGCACTTATGACGGATGATGGAAGTTCCATTAGATATTCGGCTATTTTTCCGTATTGGCTAGAGTTCCCTACGAAAATCTGCGAGACGCCGTTAGACGTTTTCGAGAATCTGGGTCCTACCATAAAAGGTCCGGTTCTGGACGCCGTAGGTAACTGGACCACAGGATGGTCGTTTTAGACTTTGAGAATTTTGCGAAACCAACATTTTACTGTTGTTCAAGCGATTCATCAGCTCCAGGAAGTTCGAGGTATCCAATTTCTGAACGCTCTGCTCAAAGAAGATTAAATCAGTATGGATGGATTGCTTTTTGCCACGTAAAGGACTAGAATTGAACAGAACACACAGTGTTGCACGGCTCGCATTTGCTCGAGAACACATCCATTGGTCTTTGGACGATTGATCTGCCGTAATTTTTACAGATGAGTGTAGATTTAGACTCGCTATGGGGATGAAATTTTGGAACATTCTGCGTTGCCTATCCTCGATGAAATCAGCGACGATCCTTTTGTAATGCACGATAATACTCGTCCACCTGTCGCTCGCATAGAACCTTCAACAGCATAACATCAGGGTCTTAGCCTGGCCAGCCCGTTCTCCAGACTTGAGTCCTTCGAACATTTTTGGAAGAACTTCAAAAGACGAATACGATCTTAAAAGGTCTCTTCGTGAAGAATGAGCTAACCTCCAGCAAAGAGACATTTTCGGACTGGTAGCAAGTGTGCCGAGGCGTAATTAAGGCAAAAGGAAGAAATACGCGGTATTAAATGTTAATTAAAAATCTAAAACAAAATTAAAACAAATTTTATCTGTCCGCCTTTTTATATTTTTTTTTAATTTTTCATTTTCCTTAACAATTTTTTAGTTTTTTAGACAAAGACTCAATTATAAAACATTAAAAGCGTGAAACTTTGATTAATATATAAAAATATACACAAATCAAGTTATATTACAAGTGGGCGGAATTCTAGCCTATAAGATGCCCAAGTGTAGTATGTGTTCTTATCAGCTTACTCTCTGGTACGACTTTCATAGGGAGACCAGGCAGGGTAACGCTACTGGAAG